GCATGTTCATGAGGGAAATAAGTATTTGATCCCCTATCATTCAGCAGGATTTCTGGCTACCAGGTATCTTTCACAAAGGTAACAATCTGAGATTAGAAGCAGTCTCTTAAAGGGAGTGCTGCTAATCTAATTTTGTTACCTGTATAAAAAACACCTTTCCACAGGAGAAATCAAACATTCAGATTCCAAACTCTCCACCATGGCAAAGACCAAAGAGCTGTCCAAGGATGTCAAGGACAAGATTGTAGACCTACACAAGGCTGGACTGGGCTACCAAACTATCACCAAGCAGCTTGGAGAGAAGGTGACAACAGTTGGTGCAATCATTCGCAAATGGAAGAAACACAAAAAACAACTGTCAGTCTCCCTAGGTCTGGTACACCATGCAAGATCTCACCTCGTGGAGTGTCAATGATCATGAGAACAGTGAGGAACCATCCCAGAACTACACGTGAGGATCTTGTCAATGATCTCCAGGCAGCTGGGACCACAATCAACAAGAAAACAATTGGTAACACACTACGCCGACAAGGCTTGAAATCCTGCAGTGCCTGCAAAGTCCCTCTGCTCAAGAAAGCACATGTCCAGGCCCATCTGAAGTTTGTCACTGAACATCTGAATGATGCAGAAGATGAGACCAAAATTGAGCTCTTTGGCATCAACTCAACTGGCCGTGTTTGGAGGAGGAGGAATGCTGCCTATGACCCCCAAGAACACCATCCCAACTGTCAAACATGGTGGTGGAAACATTCTGCTTTGGGGTGTTTTTTCTGCTAAGGGGACAGGACAACTGCACCGCATTAAAGGGATGATGAATGGGGCAATGTACCGTTAAATCTTGGGTGAGAACCTTCTTCCCTCAGCCAGGGCATTGAAAATGGGTTGTGGATGGGTGTTCCAGCATGACACTGACTCAAAACCAAGGCAACAAAGGAGTGGCTCAGGAAGAAGCACTTTAAGGTCCTGGAGTGGCCTAGCCAGTCTCCAGACCTTAATCCGATTGAAAATCTGACGAGGGAGCTGACAGTTCAAGTTGCCAAACGTCAGCCACCAAACCTTAAAGACTTGGAGAGGATCTGCCAAGAGGAGTGGGCCAAAATCCCTCCTGACTTGTGTGCAAACCTGGTGGCCAACTACAGGAAACGTCTGACCTCTGTGATTGCCAACAAGGGATTTGCCACCAAGTACCAAGTCATGTCTTGTGAAGGGGCATCAAATACTTATTTCCCTCATGAACATGCAAATCCGTGCATAATTTGTTAGACATTCTTTTGAATTTTTTTGTTGCTATTCTGTCTCTGTGTTACAATACACCTACCATTCAATTTTTAGACTGATCATTTCTTCGTGAGGGGGCAAACAAAAGCAGCAGGGGATCAAATACTTATTTCCTTCACTGTATTAGGGGAGTAGAGTAGGTTTCCAGTAACTGGTAGAGTTCCATGATGTTCCCTCCCCCTATTACACTGAGCCTATAGGAAAAGATATGATCTATTTGAGCACCAGTGCAGTATTCCCCCTGGCCCCTCCAACAGTCAAGGACAGAGGTGGAAACATGCTTGAGTCTAAGCTCATCTATCCTCACAATATGAGGGTCCAGATTTTTGGACTGTGCTTATAGAAAATAACTACTGTTGTTAACATGAAAAATCTGTAAACAGTGCTGCGCAATGCAGTGTGCTATAACTAAAATTATCATATGAAGTGTACAAAAACCAACAATGCTGTATACCATATACAGTGCATAAAATCACATTAACAGTGCATGCAATAGCATTTCTGCACATTCAGCTGTCCTTTTTTGTATGGTGATCCTCTCATAAAGCAGTAAACAATTGTGCAACTTTTGCCAGCTTATCACGTGTGTGCCTCTTCCACTGACATATATACTCTCACCTCCTGTATATGACCTGCATAATTAGGTCAAATAACACTTTTCCCTTTACCCAGGGTAGGTATAGCCTCCTGCACTCTCCAGTCTCCAAGCTCCGGAGTAGTTTGATCCACATTCATCCTCCTACTCCTTACACGATATACCCTCCAAAGTTTAAAAGGAATACACCGTCATAGTGTATCAAATGTATCCACCAATATTTATTAAAAAAATATGTATTGCACTCACACATAAAGTGCCCATCTTGATCACTACAGTAAAACAGTCTGTGTTCCCTTAAGATCCTGAGTTCCCTGGTTACTCACAAGATGGTGGCTTTCGGGTGTACGGCTTGACGTCGTCATCCCGCCCTACGCGTTGCGTCACAACGCGTGACTTCAATTATATATGTAGGTGGAAGAGGCACACGTGGGTGATTACTAGCATGGCAAAAGTTGCACGATTGTTTACTGCTACAAAAAGGACTGCTTCACATAATCTAGCTTATAAGAACACAGGGATTTATTTCCATCTTTGGTTGCTGAAATTGCACAAATGCTATTGTATGCACTGTTAACGTGATTTTATGCACTATATAATATACAGCATTGTTGGTTTTTGTACACGTTATGTGATAATTTTAGTTATAGCACATTGCATTGCACGGCACTGTTTACAGATTTTTTTTTATTTTATTGTATGTGGGAACACATATAGTCTAAGCCGCAGTTTAACATTTGGAAAGAGATTTTTAGCTTTTTCATAATTGCGCTGAACTATATTGTGTTCACTGTTGTTAACATGTCACCTTTTTGCTTATTTGCTGATGTACACTTTGAAACGGTGTACATGTACGTTCTTTGTGAACGTGTGCATGTACGTTACTTTCTGAAATGTGTATTGGATTTGTATATTTCTATTGAAAATCTAATAAAAAATATTGGAAAAGAAAAGGAAAGCAAGCCTCTTAGGGCAGTATTTCAATTAAAAGAGGTGTTTTTTTAAATAAAAGAAGTGCAGTCACATTGACTTACTAATAAACCAGCATGCTTATAAATCTGCAGCACAATAATATTCACTGTTTACTTCCGGATGGTGGCCACTGTGCATTATGACACCATGTTTGACATAGGGGCATGGCTCCTTTACCTTCTCCCACCACCCCAACACACAGACACACATCCTAGGGTTCCCTTCAAGTAGCACATCTGGACGAACGTTAATTGCTTTCAAAGTTGGTTGACTCATAGATGTGGCAAGATCTCAAATGCTCTGACAGAAAGAATTTCCGTTCAAGCTTTCACACTAAATTCTACTGGTGTATAACCAGCTTAATCTGTCGGGGTGAAAGAAATTTCTCTCCTCGGCTCTCCTCCTTCCGATGCCATCTTTGCCAGTGCGTGCCCCCCCCCCCCCCCCCCCATTTCCCAGCTCTTAACCTCCTCTGTATTTCAAATTTCAGTGTTTTTGGTTTGATTAAAATATAATCAATAAAAATCAACACTAATCTAATAATAATACATTTAATTTGAATTAAATGTATTATTTTAAATTATAATTTATGATTTCGTGTTTCAAATTTTATCATATCTGGAATGTTTAATAGACTCTTGTTCGGACAGATTTCAGTGAGTTATTTAAAAATTACAGCCTACAATAAAAAACTACATATTTCCATGCAAAAAAATGGTACCGCTTTCAGCACAAAAAAACGGAAAGAATCATACCGCCGAGGAGGTTAAAGCTGAAATTACATTTCTGTCCCCTCATTCACACACCCATATGCATCTTCATTATTACTATAATGCCTACATACATTCCCCATGCTCCCCACTCCTCCGCCAACACCCTCATTACATCTGTTTATGGTGCTCCACTGCGCCTGCACAACCTCAACAATATGCCAACACACACATGCACATGTGTCTCCCAACTAAACTCTGTGCCTACCCCATCACCAACACCAACCTTTCTTTCTCTCTTTTCATTCCTGCATGCTCCCACCATCACCACCATTGTGTTGATCAGAGTTTGTGTAAGGGGTGACTGTCTGATTTGTGGTGTGTTTATAAAGTTTGAGTTGGTGGGAAGTATCCCTGCCTCTTAAAACCTCCAAGGATTCTTCAAAGATCTTGATGGAGTTGCTTGACATTTTACCACGTTTATGTTTGGTCAGCTAAAATTCAAAAGTACTGTTCAATCTCTATTTTACTCAAATGTATTGATTTTTTTTTTTGCCCTTCTAACCCCCTTGACTTGAATTGTATTGTAACTGTACTGTCTCCCTTTAAGTGCTGCGCAAACTCTTGGTGCTATATAAATTCTGTTTAATAATAAAAATGTTTTGGCATTCAACAGTCAGTAAGGTTCTACCCATATACCAACTTACCTAACAAAGTAGGAACTGTGCAAAGAAATTTGACAAAATATGAATGGAAGTACAGAGTACCTTTCAAACACCTAATTTCTGCTGGCTATAAACATTTTGTACTAGGGATGCACCAATACCAGTATCTGTATCGGTGCCGATACCGAGTATTTCCACGAGTACTCGTGAAAATGCTCCTGGTACCTGAAACCAATACTTTGCGGTGTGATTTTGCGTCTATAGACGCAAATTGCACCGCAGAGTATAGCATGCGATTTGAACAGGAATGCAATTCCTATCCAAATTGCATGCAGTTTTCCCACTGCTCCTGTGTGAACCCAGTTCACGCAGGAGTGGGGCAGGTAAACCTCTCTGCACCTATCCCATGCTGTTACAGAAGGAAAAGCTGGGGATTTTAAATCCCTGCGGCTTTCTCTCCTCTTGGGACAGTATGGGGGGGGGGGGGACAGTATGCGCTAGACTGCTTTTGATTGGTCAGGTGTATATGAACCCAAAAACTGTTTTACAAAGTGATTTTGCGCTCTACCAAGTTATTTGTTGTATAGATGGAGATGACCGTAAACAAAGTAAGTTTAACACTGTTTTTTTTTTTTTAAATTATGTTAATACATAATTCTAGAAAAAGAAGTAATTTTATTATTGTGGGGGTTTTATTTTGTTTTTTTGTCACCGGTGCAGCGCAGTGTGTAGCAAACAAATGAATTTACGTATTAGGTCTGATTTCATTGTTTTTTGCAGGAGCCGAAGTAAAGTTTTATCTCGATGGCTTGCCAGCTTACCAGTTCAGCTTGTTCATCTTGGTCCGAGAAACCACCAGCTTTCTGCCCTTATGATTGATACAATATATACTGCTGCAGCTCGGTCAAACAAGGAATTACTTCAGAACCTTCAGGCGATAGCCTGTCAAGTTTATGGTGTGTATGCTTTGTTCTGTTTTTTTACCTTTTTTTCTGCGGAAGGTCAGTGTACTTCTAAGTGATATGAAAGATTTTTAAAAATGTGATTTTAAAGCTCAAATTCTCTATAGTTTTAGTGACCTAACTTACCTGTGGAGGTATGTCCCATGTTGTGCAGGCAGCTGGGTCCTGTGCAAATCTGTGCAAGGATGCCCTGTCCTCTTCCTGCTGATGAACTTCTGGTCTGCCTATCCCCCTCTTCAACCCTTCTCCCTCTTCCTATCCTCTCGTCTCCTTCATTGTGAAAACATGTTTCATAATGTACGAGGTGTGACAATTTAATTCCTGGAATGGACTGTCAAAAAAAATTTGTTTACCTATACACTATTGGTTGTTGTCACCTTGTGAAGCGACACTCTTTTCTAGACGACTGTGCCACTGCTGGAACATTCCTGGAATGCTGCACAGTAATTTTGTTGCAGCGTGCTGAATGTCTGGAATCAAATCTGTGTCCTTTTTAAGGTATTTTTATTTTGGAAACAGCCAGTTACAGGGTGCTAAGTCAGGGGAATAAGGTGGTTGGTCAAGTTTCGCAATGGATTTCTGGGCCTGGAACTCACGGACACCTAACACATCGTGTGCAGGAGCATTGTGTGGTTGAGAATTCACTTGTCAGGCCAAAGTTCCAGTCTTTTCCTCCAGATTCCCATAACTCAGACTGACCCCTCGGCTGAGGCTGCTTCCCTAGTTAAACTGCAGGCTTGTCTGGTTAACCACCTACTCTTTGAGAAGGCCAAACAAAACATCTTTTATAGTAGACAGAGAATATTTGAACATGGGTAATGAGCTGGTCGGTTATTAGCTTATTTGGATCTTAGGCCTCCTACTGTGATTTCCCTGCGTGATGCCTCTGGTGCTCACATCACTGACCCGGACCTGGTGGAGGAGTTTCAGAGCTTTTTTTTTTTCTCCACATTCTATTCATCCACCACCACTCGAACCCACACTGAGCTCATTAATTTTTTACAAACCATACCTTTTCCCTCTCTCACCCCCTCTCAAACTGCTAATTTGGAAGCCCCTATCTCTATTGAAGACTTAACTGAAGCCATAGCCCACCTATCCCCCTCTTAAACACCGGGATCTGATGGACTCTCATTGGAATTTTATACTCAATTACATGACTCCATCATCCCTCGCCTACACACATTTGTACCAGCATATCTATAGATCTGCCTTTCTTTCACAGTTGATGGGAGAAGCATTGATGGTCCTTATACCTAAACCCGGCAAATGCTCTCTACTCCCTGAGTCGCACCGTCCCATCTCCCTCCTACAGCTCAACATTAAGATCTTGGCCAAAGCCCTGGCACTGCTTTTAAACAAAATAATCTTACAGCTGACCCACCCTGATCAGATTGGGTTCATGCCAGGCAAAAAAAACGGCATTTAATCTATGGAGGTTCTTTATGAACCTACAAGCCTCACATGACCATGTAGGCTCCAGGGTTGTTGTTTCACTTGATGCTGCTAAAGCTTTCCACTCGGTGGAGTGGGGGTATTTATGGGAATGTCTATGCAGATTTGGGTTTGGGCTCAAATTTATCAAGTGGCTTTGATTACTTTAATATGCTCCAACAGCCAGGGTCCTGGTTGGTGGTTGAGTGTCTGATCCCTTTCTATAGGCAAGCGTCAGGGATGGCCTCTTTTCCCCTTGTTATATGCTTTAGCTATGGAACCGCTAACCATAGCCCTCCGAACGCACCCCGAAATTCAGGGTTTGCGTTCTGGTCAACTGGTAGTAACGGTGAGCTTATATGCGGATGACATGCTCTTGTACCTGGAAGATGCGGGCCCTTCTCTTAGGGCTGCCCTTGATCTTATAGACCACTTTGGACAATTTTCCGGCCTCAAAATAAATTGGGGAAAATCCCAGATTCTCCCACTGGATATCGATGCTCCTACTGCGGAATAGGCCACTTTTCCTTTACTTGAGTAAGTACCATTAAATATCTCGGGGTTGTGGTTTCTCACTCAGCTGAGGATCATCTTCGGCTCAACCTGGATCCTTTATACCTGATATTGAAATCCAAACTGCTGGCGTGGGCTCAACTTCCCTTAGGTGTTATGAGTCTTATTATTTTGATTAAAATGGTGCTACTGCCCAAAAATCTTTATGTGGCATGCACAGGTGTATTTACCATTTCTTATTTTCAAGTCTCTGGATTCCTTGTTTATAACCTTTGTATGGGGCAATATGCAACATAAACCATTGTCTTAAAAAATCCCACGCACCTGGGGGTTGGGGAGCAGCATCTAACCTCTACTATTTAGCTCAACTGCCTCATTGTTTCCACTTGGACAAAGGGGATAGAGACCGTGATCTTGCCTTGGTGTGCGCTTCATCCTTTTCTTGGGCTACTCATCCATTTCAACTCCAGTTAAAGGGTATGTGAGACCCCTCAATTATGGGTGGTCGCAAAGGGTTACTATACCACCACTGGAAGATCTGGTCATTATTCTGTAAGCTGCAAACCCCTTCTCTACACACCCACACCCCTCTATGGGACAACCTGTGCCTCCCGGAGTTGCGCATTGTCCCTGACTCTCATCTATGGATCAACAGAGGGATTCTGTACGTCTCTCAGGTGTTCACCAGTGCTGGCATTAAACCCTTTCAAGACCTTAAATTAGAATTTGACTTTCCTAACTTTATGCTTTTCTGTTATCTCCAGCACCGACACACGCTGCATGCCCGATTCGGTGACTCTATCCCGCATCTTTATACCTTTATGGATTTGATGTTGGGTATGGAATCCAAAAAACTTAAGTGCACATTCTACAATGCTCTGCTCTTGCCTCCTGCATTGACCTTGGCGTATCAACTTAAATCCCGATGGGAGGCGGACGTGGGAGGAGGTGTTAACCTCGAGTAAACTGGTCTCCCCAAAACTGTGGGATCGTCTCGCCCACCTATATATACTTCATAGAACCTATTTTAAGCCTTTTCAGCGGTCCAGATACCAGCCACAATATAGTCTGCTTTGTCCTAGATGTGGGGTTTCCATTGGTACCTTTTATCTCATATGGTCTTGCTGTATTCATGGGTACTGGGGTCAGGTGGTTCAGTTCCTCCATGACAAAATGGGTTCACCCCTTACTCTATGCCCTAAGCAATGTTTACTGGTTCTATTCCCCAACTTGGAAACCGATAAAATTCAGACTATTTTCTTACAGGAAACTCTGTGGCCAGATTTCTAATTGCTCAAACTTGGCTTCGAGCGCTGTTGCCTACTATCTCGCACTGGGTTACTGCGATAAATAGTATATTACCATATAAGAAGGTTATTTACATGCATCGAGGATGCCTTGCCAAATATAAAGTATGGGATAAATGGCTTGACTCTGCATCTACTTCTGTTGAGGAAGAGGGCATGTATTTGCTTACATTTATCCCTTTTTTGCTACTTGCTTCTGTTTATATGGTATTTATACCTTGTTGGATGGACTTTGTTAGTTTTATTCTGCTTGCTTATGGCAAGTATATTCTTGATTGTGTAATTGCACTATTTGCCACTATACTGGTCTCATTTTTGTTTGCTGTATAATGTGGTTGCATATCTCAATAAAGAGTTTGCTTGTGAAAAAAAAAAAATGTTGGTTGACTGTTGAACCATGTTCTATGAACACAGCAGCATGGTTTTAAACTGAGAATGAGACATGCGTGCTTTCTTCGGGTGAGGTGATTTCTTTGTTTTCCACTGAATGCTCTGGTCTTTTGTTTTGTTTCCGGATCACACTGTTTCAGCACCAGTAATAACCTATCAAACACCCCTGCATTCTTCAAAAGATCGGATGAAATTTGAACTTTATTAAAGACTTCAGAGACATCTATGTGACGAAGGCCGAAGCTGTGGAGGACTCGTACTTCCAGGTGGCTGGGAGGACTCTCCTGGTCTTGTAGTAGCCAATCTGTGAATTTCGGCTTTCAATGAGAATAAGATGAGATTTGGCATCTTTATCCTTCCTGTTCCTCTCCAAATATTTGCGCACAATCATAGTCTTCTTGATCAGGTGGGTAGAGGTTCTCTGGTAGGTCAGGGGCCAGATTCTCAGGATCTTGTTGCCAATTACAAAACGAACCTGGGCAACTCCTTGAAAATCGGGGACCGGGTCAGACCTTCCTTGGCCAGTTTGTAGATCTGTTCCTTCACATTAACAGATGTCCGTTTCAACAACGTGGGAACGCTGTGTCTATAGGAGAGTGCTGACTGGGACAAGCCCTTTCCCAGAGCGTGCCTGCGACCCATGATGTTGGCTGCAATTGAAGACGACGTTCTTTCTGATCTTCTGTCAGAATTCAAAGCACCATCTTTGTGGAAATCTTTCTCATTCCAAAATCTTCCATTTGACTCTGTTGCACTGTTTCTCTGTTCATGTTCAATTCTTCTACTATCATTCACACACTCAGTCTTCCATATGAGCATACACTGAAACGCTTTTCCCAATTGAATTGGAGGGAAGCGGGGACAAGTTCCAGTTTGGGAGCTTGTTCTCAAGACTCTGAGCTATTAACCATTACAGCACTGGAAGTTCATCATCTGGAAAAGGACCTGTTATCACTGTACAGAAGATTTCTACAGGATTCAGCTGCCACATACTTCATTACAGGTAAGTTAGGTCATTAAAGCTATAGGGAAGATGTATTTATTTATTTTGGTTAAACTGCTTTGGTTAAGCATTTTTAATATCTGTACTATTGCCTTTGGATTTACCCATTTACTGGGTATTGTACAATCAGGTTGAACCTGCGTGACCATCTTTAATGTCCAGTTTCACAGAGACAGGCCATATAGTGTGGAGCTATTTTCATACAGCCTGTATTCGTGAATGAACATGCATTGTTTGTGCAGACCCCAGCGCACAGCCAATTTTGAGAGTCATGCATGAGCGAGTGCGAGGCCCTGAATGCACGCTATCTGTTTCGGATTGTGCCCTTGACCCGGCGCGCCTATCAAAATTGGCTGTGCGCTGGAATCCGTACAGCCGTGTGTCCACTCTGTCTGCATGCATAAACAGAATCCTCATTCACATGTATGGGCCTCTGCATCCTTGTGAATGACGGATTGATTTATTGAATATACAGGAAAAATAGTAGTTCATTTTGCTACAGATTACCAGGGATTATCCACAGCTCTCAAGTCCTTTTACCACTAGTGTGTAAGGTTTTGAAGTGTAGAACCTGTCCACTGCCTAGGTATGTGTGTGTATATACAGTTAAAGACTAATCACTCAGGATTGGAAGTGTTGTAAATTCTTTGCAAAATGAAAGGCAGGATAATTTGCTTTAGATATTTCCTAGTTCTTGCAAAAATGTGTGTAATAAATCCTCATCCGTGTTTAATACACAGAATGGATAAAAACTGAACTCTCCAAGGGGGTAGTGTTCTATAGTCCAGTAAGTGAGAACTTGACTGACAACATTGCTTCTGATTTTAGTGCAGCATTGTCACTCATCACAGGAAATTAAGAGTTCATAAGATGTCGCAATACTTTTTGTGCGCATATTTAGATAAGCAAATCATGGGGAAGGGTGCATGTATTGGCCAGACTTGCATATTAAGGCAGCCCTGCGCTAGGAATTTGGATAGGAAATAATCTTATCATTGACATAAACACACATATATTTTTATTTATTAGTGTCAGAAACAATTGAGTACTGTCCATGATACTTTTTTTATTTGCACTAACATACAATTTTGAGGACAAGCTTTCGGGGTATGTCCCCTTCTTCAAATTATTTATTAGTGTAATAGTTTTTTTTATAGTTTTAAATGAACTATAATTTTCACACAGTTTGTTTTTGCTGCTAATTCTGTTATTTTTTTTACACAGATCCAAAAGATGGCATTCTTGTCCTTCTGCCAGAAGAGTTGCAGTTGAGACTGGTGCAACTTTTATACTTTATTCCAACGCTTTCATCTGACTTGCTGATTTTCTTAAGTCGATGTTGTATCTCTGAACGATTACCATCTAATCTTGCCTCGAAGCTCGTTGGAATATTACATACAAGGTCAGTTTATCTACTAATATCTGAAAACATCTATTCAATTCAAATTGCTAGAAATCTGAAAACTAAATTAAAAAGATGCTGGCTATTCTGCTCTGAGTAGTGCAGAAGTAAATTTTAGGGTGGCCACCCATGCAAACAAAAGCCTCCTCTGTTCTATCATTTATTTACATCTAGATGTGCTGCAAGGCAAGCATTTTTTTTGTAATGAGCTGCCTTTTTTTTTTTTTTTAGTCATCTGTAACTCGCCTCAATGCATGAAACATTTGTATGTAATTTTTGCAGCGCATGTATGTTGAGGTGCCAGTCAGTCACGTATATGGTATGAATGAACTCTTCATCTATTTTAACTGTACCAAGTTAATTGACCGTGGCAAAATTTTGCTTTTTATCAATTGGTTCATTCATAATACAGATCATTTCAGTGACTGTTTCTTTTAACCATTTTTAGTCCAGGCCAATTTTGACATTTCTCTCATACATGCAAAAATTTGCTTTTTTTTTTTGCTAGAAAATTACTTAGAACCACCAAACAAATTATTTATATTTATATAATTCATTTTTTTTTTCAAGTAGAGACCCTGGGGAATAAAATGGTTGTTGCATTTTTGTATGTCGCACGATCTTTGCGAAGCAGTTAATCAAACTCAAATTATCAGGAAAAAATACAGTTTAATGAGTTCTAGTGAACATAAACACAATTTAATACCCAATTTGTTTGGTAAAACATAACAGATGATGATACGCTGAGTAAATGGATACCTATAAATACCTAACATGTCACCTCAAATGGCGCCAAACTATGGTACCTAAAATTCTCCATAGGCGATGCTTTAAAATCCTTTACAGGTTGTAGGTTTAGATTTAAACAGGAGGTCTGGTGCTAGAATTTTTGCTTTCACTCTGATGCTCACAGTGATACCTTACATATGTACTGCGATTGCCATTTACATGTGCATGTGGTACCGGCACAGGAAGCTTCAATTTAACTGTGTGTATATGTATATGTATATACATATAGATAGATAGATATAGAGATATAGATAGATATAGAGATATATATATATATATATATATATATATATATATATATATATATATATATATATATATATAGAGATAGATAGATAGATAGATAGATAGATAGATATAGAGATTATATATAAACACATACACAGCACTCAGCATAAATGAGTACACCTCTTTTGAAAAGTAAGATTTTAATCAATATCTCAATGACAGAAGAATTTACTAAATATTGACAAAACTGAGTTTTATAGAACGTTTGTTTAGCTCACTACATGAAAGTAAGGTTAATAATATAACTTAGATTACAAAATCTTCAGTTTTACTCAAATTGATGCAAAAATGTATACACCCCACATCAAAAACTACTACATCTACTATTTTGTATGACGTCCATGATTTGTAAGGACAGCGCAAAGTCTTCTAGGCATGGAATGAACAAGTTGGTGACATATTGCAACATCTATCTTTTTCCATTCTTCAAGAACAACCTCTTTTAGAGCTTGGATGCTGGATGGAGAGTGATGCTCAGCATGTCTCTTCAGAATCCCCATAGGTGTTTGGGTTCATATTAGGAGACTTGGCCACTGAATCACTTTCACCCCTGTTCTTCAGAAATGCAACAGAGGCCTTAGATGTGTGTTTTGGATCATTGTCATGTTGTAAAAGTGCATGTCGACCAAGGACATGGATTTGATGGTAGCATCTCCTCTTTCCATATACAGCAGTACATCTGTGAATTTATGATACCATAAATGAAATGCAGCTCCCTGACCCCAGCAGCACTCATGCAGCCCCACAGAAGGACACTGCCACTACAGTTTCACTGTAGGCACCATGCATTTTTCTTTGTATTCCAGACCTTTGCAACACCATACGGTTTTGAAACCATCAGTTCCAGAAACATTTACAGTTGTGGCCAAAATTATTCAACCCCCACAATGCTGTAAAGGGGTTTAGGGACTATAGTGTACATTTGGAATTGTATTCAGAATCAAATCCTACAAGGACGTTGTAACTACCCAAATGCAACTAAAATGACATCAATTGTTTATGTAATACAGTAGTAAATGGTTCTTATGTGGTTTCTTCATTGCCACAATTATTCAACCCCTTAAAGACTACCACTCTGAAGAACAGAGGTTCATACAGGTGCTTTCCATCAGGTATTGAAAACACCTGTGGATGTCACCGAGCAGCAATCAAGCATAATAAGCACCAATTAGGCAGCTTTAAAATGACTGTGATACTCAGCTCCTTCTAGACATTTACTGGTGTGGTTACAAACATGGTGAAGGCAAGAGAATGGTCCAGGAAGACAAGAGAAGAGGTGATTTCTCTTCACAGGAAGGGCAATGGCTATAAGAAGATTGCAAAGATGTTAAACATACCAAGAGACACCTTAGGAAGCATCATTCGCAAATTCAAGGCAAAGGGCACTGTTGAAACGCTACCTGGTCGTGGCAGAAAGAAGATGCTGACTTCGACTGCTGTGCGCTACCTGAAGCGTAGAGTGGAGAGAAGTCCCCGTGTGACTGCTGAGGAACTGAGAAAAGATTTGTCAGATGTGGGTACAGAAGTTTCAGCCCAGACAATAAGACGCACACTGCGTAATGAAGGCCTCCGTGCCAGAACTCCCAGGCGTACCCCCTTGCTGTCTCCAAAGAATAAGAAGAGTCGACTGCAGTATGCCAAAAGCCATGTGGACAAACCACAAAAGTTGTGGGATAGTGTTCTGTGGACTGATGAAACAAAATTAGAACTGTTTGGGCCCATGGATCAACGCTATGTTTGGAGGAGGAAGAACAAGGCCTATGATGAAAAGAACACCTTGCCTACTGTGAAGCATGGTGGAGGGTCAATCATGCTTTGGGGCTGTTTTGCTTCTGCAGGTACAGGGAAGCTTCAGCGTGTGCAAGGTACCATGAATTCTCTTCAGTACCAGGAGATATTGGATGGAAACGTGATGCAGTCCGTCACACACCTGAGGCTTGGGAGACGTTGGACCTTTCAACAGGACAATGATCCCAAGCATACCTCCAAGTCCACTAGAGCATGGTTGCAGAGGAAAGGCTGGAAACATTTTGGAGTGGCCATCGCAGTCACCAGACTTAAATCCGATTGAGAACCTCTGGTGGGACTTAAAGAAAGCAGTTGCAGTGCGCAAGCCTAAGAATGTGACTGAACTGGAGGCCTTTGCCCATGAAGAATGGGCGAAGATACCCGTAGATCGCTGCAAGACACTTGTGTCAAGCTATGCTTCACGTTTAAAAGCTGTTATAACTGTAAAAGGATGCTGTACTAAGTACTAAGATTGAATGTCACTTGGGGGTTGAATAAAACTGATAATGCTGTGAGCACAGAAAAGACATTTGTGGTTATTTCATTATAACTGTTATGTTATATTTGTCTGACCTACAAGTGCCTCTTTAATGTAAATGTAAGCAAGATGACTGAATGATCAAAAGCAATGTCAAACTGGCCAAAACACTCAATTTCAGTGGGGGTTGAATAATTTTGGCCACAACTGTATCTTGGTCTCATCACTCCCGAGCACAGAGTCCCAGTAGTCTTCTTTTTCAGCATGGGCCCTGGCAAATTATAGGTGGGCTTTTCTATGCATGGGCCTTAGAGGCTTTCTTCGTGGACAACATGCCATTCCTCTGCGGTGTACGCTGTATTGTATTGTATTACAGGAAACAATCGCCCCAGTTTGGCTTTCTACTTCTTTAGCTAACTGCAGTAAACTTGCATGGCGATTTTCTTCAAACCCAAGATTGGTTTAGTCAGATGCTTTCGTACAAATGCAATCGATTACACAATTTTTTTGTAAAATATAAAGAATGATGTATCACAGAGCAAACAGATACCCAACATGTCACGCACTAAAAGTGCATATGTCCATTAAACTTTGGTACACAATGATATCCATAGGCGACACTTTAAAAGCCCTTAAAAGTTCATCAGTTTAGAGTTAACCATAAATGATGGCCCTAGAATTATTACTGCTCTCTGGCGTGTGCTGCTATGTAATGTAACACAATCACCATGTAATGTGTAACACAATCACCATTTTTGTACGTTTGTAAATTATTTTTCTTTTTGGGTTGGAGTTTCAGGTGCTTGGTTGTGCCTTTTTTTAATTTTTTAATTTTTTTTTTTTTTTAAGCTGAACCAATGTAACAATGAAAAAATATACCTCACCTGGAATTTCCCTTTATTGCTGTCTGAGTGAATGCCCTGAAAAATAAATGGAGCTTTAGAGACTTAAAGCGGAGTTCCAGCTGAAAAAAAAAAAAAAAAAATCAGCAGCTACAAAAACTAGCTGCTATCTTTTAAAATACACAGCCACTTACCTGTCCCTCGGTCCAGCGGTGTCCTCATCACTGCTGGTTTCACCAGACATCTCTTCTGACACCTGCATCTTTTGTGTGGGCACCCGGCTATGACAGCTTGAGGCTGCACAGCCGGGTGCCCACTGCGCATGCGTGAGAAGCACTGCTCTTTGTGAATGGCCCCGTAGTCTTCTGGGACCTGTTACGAGTCCCAGAAGACTACAGGGAGGGAGGACAACTTCTGCTTCCGATCACCTACGCGATCGCAGTGGAAGTGGGAGCGGGTACCTGTCAAATTCGGGTACCCGCCCCCCAAAGGTGCCAATACTTAATGGGGAGTGGGGGACAAAACATTAAAGCGGAACTTTCCCCTTTTGGGTGGAACTCCGCTTTAACTTCACTTGCTGCTTGCTTTGCTTTGCTTGTTCCAGTTCTGATGGCCAAGCTATTGAAGCAAGCGATGGCCAGGTAGCTAGCTAGTTTTTCAGAACAAGGTCAGCGATGGCAACCTTTTTCATGTGTTTTTTTTTTTTTTGCATAAAAGGAAAGGCTAGGTGTAAAATAAGTATGTAATTCATGCTGGCAGCGCATCTGACATAGTTAGTCTGGCTGAAAAAAGACAAATGTCCTTCCAGTTCAACC